TTTTGCATAATTACCAAAGACTACGAGTTATTGTTAGAATTGGGTTTCATATTTCTGTCTGTCTGTGTGTGTGTCCATCTAACATCATTAATTACCGGTATGTTCAAAGTTTGGCACAAATGCAATTAAACAAGCAAAATGTATTTATGTTTCAGTTGAGTATGGATAGACTGTTATTGGTTATACAGCATGTTTTCTCTTCATCTTATAGCAAATTCTACTCCCACATTCTTTGATTTTCCCTGTAGGGGTCTGATATTATTTCTCAAATAATATCAGGCATTTTATTATATCTACTAACTTTATTTGTTTGTACTTTTCTACCATCAGACCCAGAGTTGTTAAATGAATTGATTAGTAATCTGCCAGATGAAAAAGTAAATGATCCAATTCACATTGGTTTGGCAGCTTTGGAACCTAGCTCAGCTTCTATTCATCTGACTAATGGTAGTTCTGCCTCAGCTTCTATTCATCCTACCAGTGCTACTTCTTTAGCTTCAGTTCACGATACTAGTTATAATGTCTCAGTAAAACCATCATTCACTAGCTCAGCTTCAGTTCACCCTACCAGTACTACTTCTACACCTGTACGTGCATCTGTACCTAAAGCTTCTTCTTATACTAGTGCTCCTGCCTCAGCAAAACCATCATCATTCACTTGCTCAGCTTCAGTTCACCCTACCAGTGCTACTTCTACACATGTACGTGCATCTGTACCTAGAGCTTCTATCTATACCAGTGCTCCTGCCTCAACAAAACCATTAGCATTCCCATCATCATTCACTAGCTCAGCTTCAGTTCACCCTACCAGTGCTACTTCTACACCTGTACGTGCATCTGTACCTAAAGCTTCTCTTTATACCAGTGCTCCTGCCTCAACAAAACCATTAGCATTCCCATCATCATTCACTTGCTCAACTTCAGTTCACCCTACCAGTGCTACTTCTACACCTGTACGTGCATCTGTACTTAAAGCTTCTCTTTATACCAGTGCTCCTGCCTCAACAAAACCATTAGCATTCCCATCATCATTCACTAGCTCAGCTTCAGTTCACCCTACCAGTGCTACTTCTACACCTGTACGTGCATCTGTACCTAGAGCTTCTCTCTATACCAGTGCTCCTGCCTCAACAAAACCATTAGCATTAAATAGCTCAGCTTCAGTTCATCCTGCCAATGCTACTGCCACAGCCTCCATCCCAGCCATTTGCTTTGATTCAACACTACCTTCTGCAGCTTCAATTTCTGCTACCACTTTGTCTACTCTCAATTCTTGTACACCTGCTTCTACCTGGAATTATTTTCAATCATCTGCCAGTTCTGAATCATATACTCATCCCCATGCTAGTACTTCAACGTGTCATCCATCTACAACCTCTACCACAACCATTTGCTTGGATTCAACTCTGCCTGCTGCTGCTTCAACTTCTGCTACCACCTTGTCTATACTCAATTCTCCTGCACCTTCTACATCTTACTCTGTTTCATCTTTCAATGAAGAAAGATTAGAATGGTCAGAGGGTCAAATAAGTTGCTTGATTGATCTTGTTAATTTTTTTTAGATAGCCTGAGTGGAAGAAAGAAAAAAAACAGCATGGGTTATTACTTCCTCCGAATTGAATAAATTATGTGGTATCTCATCAACGCATGACAAATGTATGGATAAATGGAAGGCATTGAAAAAAAGATACCGAAATCATGTTCAATATGAGAACAAAACTGGATCTTCTTATCCGGAAGGAACGTGACTGAGTGACGTGATTTGAAAACATTCCAAGTTCCGTTCTGCGTAAACGTGTTTGTAATACTACAATAAAGCCATGCTCATACATACTGCCTGCTAGATTTACATATTTGAGATGTTCTGTGCAAATTTATAACAAAAGAAACAGTTTTTTTATTCGCTCAACTTTCGAAAGTAAAAGGAAACCCCTGAACGGCCACGAGCGTAAGCGCTGACGTCAGGTAACCAAGGGAAATAGAACAAGCAACAAAAAAGTGATGGACCAATCGGAATGCCGGATTCGTTACTAGTTACCGGCCTCTTGTGGCTTGGTACGCCATGACACTTGAGGCGGGAACCAGCAAACTTTGTGCAGTGATGATAAGTAACGCCAGGGGGGGGGGGGTTGGCATGAGAGGGCGCCATCCGATCTGAATGAAACGTTTCGACGTCAGTCGTCCGTGGCCCATCGTCAAAGTAACAACGTCCCGTTTACGAACAGATGAAATATTCAGAATAATCATCAACAAAACTTAGAAACATTTCATAGAAAAATACAGGCTCCAAAATTATGTCTATTACAAAACAATTCAACCTACAACCAATTTGACGCCACAATTTATTGCTGGAGCCAGAGTTCTACGCGTGATTTTATTGCGTTCAAAACTGTTCCATTGTAAACGGCGCATGCATACACACTGTGGTTTCTCGAAATACATACTAATTAGGTAAATTGTCACTGATAAAAGTCACCGAAAACATTTTGAGCAATTTTGAGCACTAGTACTAGAGAAAATATAAATGTGTCTCTGCATTCCCCATGAACTTCGTAACTTGTTATGCCAAGGGTAAAGAGAAAACCTGTGCTTACTTTCAACAGTTTGCAGGAGTCTGATCGAAAACGTGTCTCAAAAAAGAGATTTACATCATTTTTCCGATTATTTTTTCAGCTCGTAACGATAGAATCGTACTTTTCAGAAAATAGCAGTACGGGTGATATTTGTAGCGAGTACGGGTGATATTTGTAGCGAGTACGGGTGACATTTGTAGCGAGTACGGGTGATATTTGTAGCGAGTACGGGTGATATTTGTAGCGAGTACGGGTGGTATTTGTAGCGAGTACATGGAGGTAATTTAGCGAGTATGAGTGATAAAATGTAGCGAGTACGGGATGGGGGTATTGCGGGGTAAAATGAAGGGATTTATACAACAATTACGGGTGCAGCAAAACACTCCATTGAGAGAGAAAATATCAGTGGTGCGAACTGAAACTAGTTCAATCTAACGAACCGAAACTAGTTCCATCTTACGAAAACTAAATGTGGACGTGAAGCAGCCATGTTTAATTAATTATATATCCACGCAGTTTGACTCCTGTGACGTAGCAAAATGGACGCCTCGTAAACTAATGACCAAAAATAAATATTGCATCGTATATAAATGATGACAGCGATTTACTAGGCCTATTGCCTGTGAACTCGTATGATGTGTGTGCACGGTGCGACTAGTAACAATTACCTAACCTACCGGTTCTTCACGGCCACAGTTGTCGCGATGCATCTCAATAAAATAGCATCTAAAACCAATTAAGGCCGATATGTGTAAATACTTGTACATTAATGCAACCAGCAATAACGACATGCAAGAATGGCATTGGCAAAATGATAACCTCGGATGTAGCCATGTCTAGGGGCATGGATATGATTTATAGTCTTTGCCCATTAATGTAATGTTATAATGTATATGAAGTATGTGATCATGATTAATCTTCATGATCATTTGTGACCACACCATTGATTATTCGGCATAGGCTACCACACACTATAATATTGAGCAGAAAGTCGTGCAAGACAACAAAGCCGATTTTCAGTATTTATTGGCACATGGTGTCATGAATCAGGGAATCTAATGGCCAAAAAATAAACGTGACGTCTGACATTGCAGCTACGGCAGCATGTCATCGCCAAACATTGCATCGTACATAAATGATGAGAGCGAGTTACTAGGCTGTCTAGGCATATGGCTTGTGAACTCATGATAGTATATAGTATATTTTATTTGACACAAAATAATGCATGGAAAATACATCATCTATGGCCAATATACATTACTTTATAAACAAACAAACAAATAACAAATAAACAAACACTGCACAAATATATATAAATGTTAGAAAAATTTTACATATTAAAGTTTAATTTTTGTTTTCTGTTGAAATTACATTGATGAATTTTCCCAGCTGTTGGTAATGAAACCATCATTTGAACTTAAATTTGTTTGAACATGTTTGTTCTGATAATGTTA